CATTTCTGTTTTTTGACTGTGTCTGTGACAAAATCAGTAAACAATAAAAACGAAGCAGTTACTTACATCTTCGCCCCAAAGAAGACCAAGGACTTTCGCAGGAATTCTGCTATCTTCTTCGAATATGGCAAAGTATTCATATTTCCGCTTAACTTTATCTGGCAAGCTGCTTACACTTATTGCGATGGCATCACATAAAGTTGGATACTCGTAGGCCAATTTCGATTTTAATTTGCTCACTTTATGATCTTGTAGTTGCTTAAGGTAGTATTCCCATCTATTAGAATGCGCTTTCAACAGTGCACCGATCATAGAAATGGCCAATGGAGAGCCCTGGCAGGCGTTTATCAACCCTGCTGCTTCAACTGGCAAAGTAGAGGCATCGGAATGAACCCATTGAGATAACACAGACTTCGATTGATCGTCAGTAAGTCCTTCCTCAATATGCACTTTCAGGACATTGCCTGAAATCGAATGAGCAAATCCACAAAAATACTTATATACGCTTAATCTATTAAATATATAAAAAATCAAGTGAGATAATTCCAATAAAAGGTTTCAAGTTTGCTTTGTTTCTGTTCATAGAGTAATGAACAGAGACAAAATTACAGAGTTTTGACAGGGAAAGCTTGTGCTCATGGGACCATATCTCAGTCAGTTTGAGACACATTTTACTGATTTTGCAAAATTAGTGGCATATTATCATGTTCTTTCTGGTTATGAGATCCAAATTTAAAAATGACACATTATAACTAGGGAAGCTTGGCTAATGATTCACTTAGCTACTTGAATTCATTGCAAAATAAATTTCAAATCAAGAAATACCAAGAAAGCACATATAAATCAAGGAAAGGAACATTTTTGCTCATAAATCAAAATCTGCTTCAAAACTGACAACTAATTGAATAGTAAATATGATGGGTAGGTTTCGAAGTCACATCACAAGCTACGACATTTACACGATGCTATGACTTATTTCAATATGATCAAACTTTTGTCATACTCAAAAATAGTGCAGCATACACAGGCTATGCGTCACATTTCTATTAAGATCAACCGTTGGTTATAATGATTAACCATACATTGATTAACTTAACCGCCAGATTTTCCGTAACCACTTCTTTGGGTTGTTGGTGTGAAGGGGTTTCTTCTTCTTTATTCATTCTCAATGCAGATGGAAGTTTTAAGTTTATACTGGTAGAGATCAAAAGTAAGCTGAATACAAGCACCTTTGAAAGCTTTGCGTTGACCCCAAATGACTCCATTACACATATGACATATAAGCAATGTTAGAAAGAGGTATTTTGTCATACTCAAATGTACCTATTGGCTCATTGCCACAAAATCATAGTCTCCTTATCAAAGCATTCAAAATATATAAAATGTTGAGAAAATCTCATAAAGTTCAATCAATGCACTCACCTGTGATATTTTCTGCTACAAAAACATTTCTGCTTGTTGCAAGTGTTCTCGCTCTAACATCAAAATACCTTGCATCCTCTTTTGTCCAGAGATCATCTAGAACCAACAATGACCTTGGATGATCATGTGCAAACAGAATCCTTATCCTATCTCTTGCCTCTTCTAAGTTTCTAGGCACACGATGAGTATTCTCAGAATCTAGTCTAGCACACAGATTCTGCATCTTCATCAGCAACCTTGCAGCATCCACAACACCAATTGACACCCAGAATACTCCACCTGGGAAGCAGTCGTGAAGAAGGTCTTTGTCAGTTAAAACTTCAGAAGCCAAGACAGTCTTGCCAGATCCCGCCATTCCATGCAGTAACACCCATCCATCACCATTTTTTAGCTTGCTAAGAGCATTCTTCAGTTTTTCAATTTCCTTCGGCCGTTTTGCATGGACAGCAGGTCTTTGTGGAACCCCTCCATCTCTTAGAATCGCTTCAACTGCGAAATATTGACAAAATCAAAAAAATTGATTATAAGAGAAAAATTGATTGATTATATATATTGATTATATTATTAACAATTTATGTTTAAACTACTAGCAGGATTATCTAAAGGAAGAAAATCTTAAAAATAAAGAACTTGTACAGAAAATAAAAAAAAAACACAAAAAGCAAAAAAATAATACCTCGCACTGAAGTAATTTGATTATAAAAAGGCCTGATAGTGACCAAAAAGAGAAATAAAATTAATATCTAGAATGAATTAAATTCAGAATATAAATTAGCGTAAACACACCCTATCTTGTGGGATTGATTGTATCTTACCTGAGAAATAGCCCTCTTCTTCATCATCGGATCCAGGTACTGCATCATTTTCATCAATGCCAGATGAAAGTAACTCAGCTAAATGCTCATAACCAGCATCAATCAATGCATCATGAAAATAGACAAATGCTGAGCTTCCTTTATCCAATAATGTATTTAGCAATCTCTCCGTTCTTCGTCTACTTGTTTTCTCAGTTTTCACAAGTTCAACTTCATCCAAATCCAGAACTATCTTGCTTTGAAGATAACTAAACACATCCTCTGGCCTGAGGTCATCACCAATATTCTTTTTGTTTGAGATTAGTAAAAATCTCTGCTGCTCATTCATGATGTCTTGTTGTGATTATAGATACACAACTTAACTCGCAAGTAGACATTCCCTGCAAGAAACAAAGAATTTAATTTCTTTTTCAGTGAGATTTCATTTCTTAACAAAGGGGCCTCTTTCTTGCTATTGATAAGTTTTACTAAATTTTCATACCTTTCTAATTTAGTCTAATTAAGATGTCCCTCGAAATCCAACACACAATACACAATAGATAGCCCAACATTCTGACTTTAAGAGTGAAAGCCAAAACCTACCACAAACTTGTTAATTGCCTACACAAATGATCTTTTTATAGGCAATAGGCTTTGTAAGCAGCGGAAAATGAAACTTACATGGGATAGGGGCTCAAACATTAACAGCCTGATTCTGTTAACTGCAGTAAAAATTATTTGTTGGCCATCCCTTGCATAAAAATTCCATCTGCTCTTCGCTGCAACTTTGTAATTTTTGAGAAATTAACATAAACACGACAAACGTAAACTTCCCATATGTCCTATCATATATTCCCCATATATGTTATCATATCTTCCCTATTCGTTTCTGAACTCTTTTTACTTTATGCACTTTAAAAGCACTACAATATCCCTAATAAAAAACATTTTCAGTAACATGTTCGAATCTAGACCTTTTCATTCACAATCAGGCTGTCTTGATTTGTTTTGATGTGGTCATTTTGTTAAAACCATTTTTTACGTTTATTAATTTGCAATTTTACATGCGAGAATGCTAGCTTATTAAAATACCTAAGTGTGTAAAACCTTTCTTTGGGGTATTGTACAGCACATATCGATATAAAGATTAAAACAGTATATAATTTCAACAAGGGAGTAATCATCCGGGTCCGGGTTCAATATAAGGCCAAGGGTGCCATGATAATATCTTTCCTCGCCATAAATATTAAACGAATCCACAAACCTCTAATGATCAATTATTCGACATTGTAAAATGCTTGGTTTTCAAGACCACAAATATCAACAAACTTCGCACTCAAGGGCTTTCGACAAGGAAAACGAAACTAACAATCTCCATGGGATATGTTTTTGAACGATCTTGTTTCAAAAGCCCCCTCCCTAACCTCTTTTAGGCGATAAATTGTTGTTGTTGTTGACGATAACTGGCGCTTAAAACCACTGTCCTTTTTTTAGATCAGTGACTGAAAATTAGGCAGAGCAAAGAAACGTAGATAAGCTGAAGTGTAGCAGGGATTAGACTTCCTCGAAATTCCTTGTCCAGGGACGAATTTAAGCGGCAATGATTGAGAGGGGTTGTTGGATAATGATCGGACGTTGTGCCAGCCATACCCTTTTAGACAGGGAATTTTGTAGAAAAAACTAGCAAACTGCCTAACCTCAAATTTTATTTCACATTCTTACTAAATCGACCATGGAGATTCCAAATCCAAGATGGGCCAAAAAAATTATCACCGGAAGTTACTGTTTTTGATGACGTCATCAAAAAAATGATAAAAAATCTTTAAAAATCGGCCAAGGACTCGAACTCAACTTTTTTTGCATTTATGCATTAAATGAACTATGCAGATTTCAAATCTGAGATGAAATGAAAAATATCTTGAGCGGAAGTCAAATTTTGTGATGACGTCATCAACTTGGAGAAAATTCACTTTGAACCTTTTTAATTGTTTTCTCGCAACTATCATTGTCAAATATGTTCCATATTCGAATTGCACGCATTCAGTGCTTTTAAAAGATGTATTGAATTTCTATTATACTTACTTTTAAACGTTCTTTCATGACGTCATCATCATTTTATGACGTCATCGCCTTTTAAAGGTAATTGAATAACGCGTGAAAGGATGCCTAAAAATCTTTAGCTAGTTAAAAAAGTCATTCAAAATTAAAATTTCGTTGTATAGAAAATGATATGGATCCATTCATTCTTCATCACTGTCTCCTTTGCTTGAACTCCAGAAGAAAATGTAGTTCCACTCATCATCGTCTGCTTTAAGCTGATCACCTCACCATAATTTTTCCAATGGCCTAGTCCTCATTGGTTACGGAATTTTCTTCGATTTCATCACTAGAGCGCTGCAGATCTTGCAGTTTTTTTAGCGGAAGGTGTGCGGGGCCCTGCACAAGATGAACATAATTTGCGTGAAAAAAATTTTGGAATTATTTTGCTGACTCCAGTATTTCTGCAGATATTCGCAGCTTTTTTAACGTTGAAGATCGGATATTTTTGTCATCAAGCCGTTAAGAAACGTTTTTCTCTGTATATCCTCTTCGTGCCATTTCTTATTTATTTATCAAATGTTTGTTCAAAATTAGAATATGTAAAGAAATTTTTTTCCTATAAACCACACTAAAACCACCTGTAGGCCAGATCGTTCTTTCCATCGTATGTCTAACCAAAGCTTAAAGGCAATTTCTCTTACAATCTTCTTTTGATAATGTAACCAATAGCAAATGCTTGTGTCGACCAGTATAGATCTGGTTGTAGAGCTTCTGATTATCTGTTTTTCATTGCCTTGCGAATTCTTACTTTTATCTGCACAAGTGTTTCATCACATTTCCCTTTGTATGATTATTTTTGCACAAATTTTATCGCTTTCGTGAGAATGTCTTTGCAGATTTCCTGTCTCATCCTAACTCTCTCGAGCAATTTTCCCTTTCCAGAACACTCCTAAAGCTTTTTAAAATGTTAGCTTTCCTTACAACAACATTACCGGTGTTGTTTCGCAGCCAATAACTGCATGAACAGCCGGTAGATTTTTGGAACTATCTAAACCCAGGTAAGATACGACGTTCCAAAATTAACGTACTTCTCGTTGTCAATCTTTAAGGAATATTTCCTTGAAGGCTTTTCACACAATAAGCAGTAAAAACTACATTAGTGTCCTTTCGACAACTAATAAATTTTTATCGATGAGGAAAGAATGGAATATCAAGTTGATGTCAGCCTCTTCATAGCTGCAATTAAGCAAGTATGTCGTGGAATCTTTGATTATCTTTAAGGTTTGTTATTTATTGGTAAACACGAGTGC